GTGGCCGAGAAGCTCGATAGTAATTAACTGGAATACAGAAACGTGTATTTTTTTTTTTACATGATGATAGTATTATCATACAGCTAGTATTGTGGTCGCCGTGACCACTGAAGCCGGTATTAGGTATCTGCTGCCTTAAACCTTGTGTGTGTGTGTGCTATCTCTAACGGGTGGCATTTTCGTGTGTACCGGTAAGGAGGTAAACATGGCACACACGTATTATTATAATGACGTACAAGTGGATGTGCGCCGGTGTTGATTGCCCCAAAGAATATTATATATTATATGGGAAAACCATTATTCAACCGGTATTTAAGTGGGCGCGTCCGCCGCCGAGTGGTTTATCGGAAATGTAAAAAAAAATTGTACAAGTCTCGCGAAACAAATCGAAAACAAGATTGAAAAAAAAAACAAACTAAAGAAAGTCATGTGTAGTCTTCTTATCCGGAGAGAGACGTCTCGATGGAGGTTCGCGTGCGGCAACGTTATGCTATAATATTATCGTGTCGACGGTGCTTATTATACGTACCTTGTTGGCAAAAAGTATAAACCAATAAAACATATTAATATACATATGTATATATTATAATCGTGTCTGTGTGTGTACACTTGAAACGCGTTTGAATTTACTACCGTGACCTTACGAGACCTGCGCAACACTAATATAACTGTGGTATCGCATATATACATGAAGTTAATCGGAGAACGTCCTGTCGTGTCTTTTACTAGACTTATGGATAAATAATAATATAAACGGCAAATAACGCGGTTGTGTGTGTGTAATACCGGAGCAGCTATGGTTTTTTTTTTTTTAATAATAATTTAAATATGCGATTCCACGACGAATCGTGACCGCAGTATTACTATCCGCGAAGATAAAACATATTTACATATACGTTTAGGTGTATATATGGTAGTTTCAAATGCTCTTTAACCATAGGCTTGTATTGTTATTGTGCAACGAAAAACTATCAACACTTGAGAACCAGCGTGGTGGTGATTAAAAATCGCATCGATTGCACGATATAGCATAGCGCTCTGGGGGGATCAGATTGTTTACAACAATGGTACCTTTGCATTTAAAGACTTGATAACGTATAAATTCGGAGACAAAAAACAGATGCAAAAAGTTTCACGCTATCGATATGTATTTCTCAAAAATAAAATAAAAAACACTTAGTTAAATACAATACATTAAAACGTGTGTGTAGGTGGATATCTCTAGCGGGTTATCTGCTGCTCGGTTCCGCATGCAAATATAATGATTGCCGTCGGCTTTACATCCCGCGCAAACGATTATTTTTCCACAACGACCGATTGAACGACATAAAGAGGCGGCGTTTTCTTTTTTTAGACGAAAGCCCATATCCTATAGTCAGGTAGTAAGGTGCGTACACCTATTGTGCACGCACGAATAGATTGTACAATGTTATTGTACGCCGGCAAACTGCTATTGCCGTGCCGAGTGTATGATATTTTCTATGTTATACTTATACACACTATACGGTCCAGCGAATCGTGCACGGGGTGCACACGCCGTATTACCTCTTCCGGTCAACACCGTACGGGATGACCGTCGGTCCGTGTACACACTTTGTAAAGACAGCTGTGACGGGGCGGTTGCAGATGCGTTGACGCTGTGCTGTTGCGAGGATAAATTGGATAAATGATCTCTAGATCTATAGCAGCGGTCCACGGTCGAAGTACGGTTTTGCCGCCGCCCTTTGCCGCATATTATAGTATTATTACTATTATTATTGTATGGTAAACGTTCGGCTCTATCCGCATTCATTATCCCGGCCGGACATCTCTATCTAGCCGTTATACACATAATATAATATTATTATTATTATTATACATTGCACGCGTTACGAGTGCGCTATTAAGTCACGTTAGGCGCATAATATACCTACACGAGTATATTATGTGCATAGTACACTTCGGTCGTGACCGGTTTCGTACACAATATATATTGTATGTATTAAAGCAAAAAACAAAAAACTCCTCCCCCGACCGCTTGTCAATTATACATCACACTCATTGGCCGAGCGTCATAGCTGTTCAAAAACGATCAGTGCAACTCGAGCGAGAGTATTTTTTTTTTTTAGACAGGTAAAACGCTGTATTTTATTTTTTAAACTCTATAGACTAAAAAACAATCCAGCCGGTTTGCAACGTCGTGTGTATAAAGGAATACTGTATAGTAGGACGTATATTATTATAATGTATAATTAAATTATTAACTCTGCGGGGCCTCTGGCAAGTGCTCTCTGCTCGCCCACCGCGCGTTACTAATGTACCCATATACGATAATATGTGAATAAAATATATTCTCGATAAATCCTATTTGTATATAAACACTTAGATATATACATACATAGCCGATACTTAATAATGTTTGAGTTTTGTATTGTCTCTCGTCGGCGTGTTGAACCCAAGACGCCGCTAATGCTGTATCGCAGTGTTGTAACTATGTATAAACGACTTTATTAAGTTTTGGGTGAACACATAAGTATGCACAGTTTCTAATCCTCTTGAAATAATTTCTGGAACGTTAACGGGTTGTTTATACACGCACGAACGAGTAATTATTTTCCGGTCTATTTGTTTTAGGTCCAAATATGTGCGACCCCCTTTCCCCGTGGGGCTAATCCGTGGGTCACGGGTAATGGAAAAAATGTTTTTAAAAAACGGGTGTAAGCAACTATTGAATATTGACAAATGGCCGCTATCGGACAGAGCCCACACCGCTATACGATAATAATAATTGATACCGACCATTATTTTTTTATTATTATTATTGTAAAATTAGGAAAAAATAAGTAGAAATACATCACTAATGGAAGCTAAAAAAAAAAAAAACTCCCAATTAATAATGGATTCGACGCGCTTGTCTATCATCAATACGACCGCCGGCTTATGTAAGTGTATTTTTATGCTGCCCATAATAATCCGTTTTGGATGGCGCTACACAAAGGAGGACTATTATTTTATTAATATTATTGTGTAATTTATTTTTTACACAACACACGGACAATTTAATAAACGCTTTTTTTTTTTTTTTGTGTCGATATCGCGCGGCCGGACAGTAGGCGTATCCCAAGGAAAGTAAACCAGCTAAAGTATTGCTCGTAAAAATTATTATTTATTCAAACAAATACAAGCGAAAAAAAAAGATTCATTATCTTTACGATCGATAACCGTATAGAACAACAACTGTTTCGACCCTCTTTTATTTTCTTAAGTGTACCTACCTATACATTAGAAAAATAATAGTAAACCATTAACGGAACCGATGTCCTTTTAGGTGAATTAAGACATTATATTATCAGCTATACAATTCCGGCACCAGCGTTGTTGTTTTGGTCGTATTGTAAATTACCGTTCTTACCGTTTAACAGCTGTATTGCGTGCGTGCTGAGTTCGAGTTGAAGATATAGGTCCATTAACGTACAATATCTATTATTCTAGTGTCGAAAAGTATACATAAAAAAAAGTAATAATAATAGTTTTATTCCTCGTGTAAACTTGTTTGTGCGACGGGTTTTGTTAATAAATAAAAAAAAATTACATTAATACTCAAGAGTGCAATAAAAATTCCAGTTATCCGAGTACAAAAATAAAATAAAATGTTGGACAAGAAACCAACGACATATTTTCGGGTTCTTAAATGGTTTTAACAGTCAATCAAACCGTTTATATATATATATATATATATACATACATAGGTACTTACCTGTTATTTAAGTATTGCTCGTAAAACACTGCTTCCAGTGTATACTGCGTATACACTGGAAGCGCAGATATATTATTATTATGTTTACAAGGTCGTGAAGTATTTCTGAGGTTTTTTTTACTTTTTTCATTCTCTTATAAAGCGCTACAAACGTGGATAGGTATAACACCATTCATAAGGGGTTTGATATTTAAGTCCTTCTGGTAGTATTCTATTTTTTTACGGCTTTGTAAAACAATAAAACCGAACGACAACATCTATCCTTGGCGCTATTGATTTCAATGGATTTGGTATTTTTTTTTTTACCAGACAAACGGGATGTTGACGAATAATTTCAGTTCTCCTTAATCCATAAAACAGCTCTAATACAACATGCGTTAACCACGAGGCCTGATTTAATCATATTTGGGTCCGGATCCTAAGGCCTCTGGGAATAGTAGTTAATATGGGCCTCGTTATAATTATACAGGTCTGACCAAAAACCGCCTTATATGGAAAAAATGAGATGTAATTAAACAAAATATTGTTGGAAATATATGTATTTAAAAACATATCCGATTAATACAATGATTCGAAGCAGTTTTTCAATATTGTCAGGGTTGGCAGCCGATAACCCCTCCCCCCTCCCCGAGCCTGTGTTAACACTGACGGTGTTAAAGTCCTCCACAGCACATCCTTAATCGCGCCTATTATAATATTACACAGTGTTGTTGGAGATAAACTCTACAAGTATATATGTATGTATTCTTACTGATACCAATCAAAATGTTTATATTCGATATAAATACCACCATTAATTAAAGCTGTCGTTCGTAATTGTTTTTTATAGCCGTTTAGGTTAGACGGGGTTTGAGCGATTGATAAGTGAGATTCAAACGCTACTATATTATACAGGATGAAACATAATATACTGTGATAAAAATTACACTCTGAGACCAAAAAATGAATTACTTATGAGGATTTTGGTAAAAAAATTTACATAGAGCTGAAAGTTATAGAAAGTAAGATTGGCCCTTTTAGACTCGAGCCACAGATCTTAATTTTTTAAAGTCGGGATGGCAAGGGAAGTGCGCGCAGATAAAAAATAATAGGTACTACACTCCACCTTTCCTCTTGCTCTAAACTTGAAACATAATTCAGTGCACTATAAAATGCATCTAACCCAACCTTACCCTGTATATAAACGCAGCTAATACGGAAAACGAATCGAAATATTGACTTTGGGCAATTGGAATTAATTGAATTTTGATTTATTTGTTTCCAGTGATGGGCGGACCGACTTCCGGCGGGGAGTCCGTCGCGGCCGGCGGAGAAGCGGACGAAGGGTCGTACCTGCCGGGAGGCGACACCCTGATGCAACCGGTGACCGCGTCCAGCCTAGACGCTCCCGTGCAGCTGCCCATATTCCTGGAGGAACCGACGGACGCGTACGTGATCAAAGGCAAACCGGCCACGCTCACCTGTCGGGCCGCCCACGCTCTGACCGTGTACTTCCGGTGCAACGGCGACAGGGTGGACGACTCGATGGGACCGCAGATGGATTTCGTCGACCCCCAGACCGGTGTCAGGAACGTCGAGGCCACCGTCAACATCACCCGGAACCACGTGGAAGAATACTTTGGCAAGCACAACTACCAGTGCCAGTGCGTGGCGTGGACTTCGCGCGGCGACATAGTCAGCAGACCCGCCAACGTGATCGTTGCCTGTGAGTATACAGTATAGTATAGTACACAACGCGATACATGCATTTTGCGCCATCCGTTGCGGTTGTATAACCCAGAGTGGTATAAAAAGGTATTGCCCCACCGTTAGCCCGGAAAGGAAATACGTTTATAGTATATTTAAATTGTGACGCACGAACTCTCGGACCGCGGGACGATTCCCACGTGCTCGGCTAAACAAATAAGATACAATTAAACGGCCGGTAATGTACTCTAATGATTATTATTATTATTATTATAAGTCGTGTATGTTGGACGAACTCACGATAACGTGTTATGTATGGTCGGCAGCGATCGTTCCGAAATTCGTGACCACTCCATGTATATGTGTAGCCCTGAAACCTCTCTCCAGTCGTGAAAGTCTATTTATTCAATGGTACCTGCACATGCTAGTATTTGTATATCTACAAATTACTAGGTACACGTTCAAACGTTTTAAAGACCACCGTCTGAACGTGCGCTTTCTCTGCCGTCTTTTACCAATACCGCGGTAGCGTTAATCGTTTCTGAGGACAACTTTGTGCGGTCTTTACACAGCTCTCGTTTTCAGACAAAATTCAATAAGAGTCGATAATTTAACCATGTAAAAAACCAACATTAGTTTTTATTTAAAAATATTACCATGCGATTACAATTAATATAGCGCACAGGCTCGAGAGCGCTATCACATTTATTAAACAACCGGCAATTTTTTTGGATTTGAATTTTTTGTTTTGCCAACTACGCTTTGCACAAAATTGTATACTTTTGACGCTTTTTATACTTGACCGCGCGGTGTTTATATACATATCGATTGGGTTGTTAAAACGGTCGTTTGTGTGTGTATATAGGAAAGTTTTGCGCCATTTGTTGCTGTCGCGTCTCCTCGCGCCGCCGCCCCCTCGAAGCGAAATCCGTTGAAAGCGATTTCCGAACCAAAGATGTAGTCACAGCTGGCGTAATCTGCTTAAAAGTTAAGTCTTGTTTTCGGCAGCTTTCACGTACCCACTACGACGAATATTTAGGGACATAAAAAAATAAAACTATGTAAGCTCTTCACACGTCGTAAACGCAACGCGCCGGCCTGCGGTTGGAACGCAAACACAATCGCTTTGGCTATCAAAATGATCGCCTCCGAGTGCAACATTGAACAACATTGAGACACTTGACACTTGATAGTATATATATAATCATTTGCACGCCGTCTTGGTGGACCATATTGCTATAGGCAGCGGCGAGGAGGTGCGATGCTTAACAAATAAGAATGAAAACCGCCGCGTCGTTTGACGTGTGCGTGATGAATACCAGATGAGAAGTCGGGCACTATAATTGAATAACCGACGGCAATAGCCGCATAACGTTATTACAATATTGTATAGGTAGAGGTGGTACCTATACAGGTGCTACGTTTGATGCAATTACAAAAATTTTTAAAAAAACTCTGTCGTCCGCGATGAACAACGTTAATGGCCCCGTATACCGTCGAAGTGGCTTTTGTTTTCATGCGAAATGAACTTACTTTGTTCTTTCCGCGCCCCTGCCCTACCCTACCCTCCCCTCGGGTCGCTGTTGCAAATCGACTTTGGCAGGGTACCGACATTTGTTTTTTGCGGCCAATTAATGGCGCATCGTTAGCATGATGACGACTGTACTATTCCGATAACGGTTTTAATTACCCTTTTCTGCGCACCACCCCCCCCCCCCCCGTTCCGGCGGTTTTCTTTATGGGCAAAAACTTTCGCGCCGAGATTTATCGTACTTTGAAAATTAAACCCAATAACGATACGGTCGGTTTTTGAAAACGGCGTCGCTGAGCAACAGCAGCAGCATTAAAAACAAGCTATTATAATATATATTATATTATACCGAATGCGTTCCTCTCAGTCATTGTAATGGGCAATAATGGCGAAAAATCTGACAGCTCCGACATAATATTTTCACCAACAGTCGCCGACAATAGACTCTGACGGGTGTTTTTATATTCATAATTTACATATTATATTTTTGTCTAAAGCCTCTTCTAGTATATTATGTATACTTTTTAAAAACCGACCGACTCTACGATGTCGTTGTATTATGGCATTGTTGTTGTTTTGTTTAAAGTCAAAAAATATTTTGTAAAAAAAACCCGCTTTAACAACACACTTTCCATCGTTTTCCTTGTACGTCCCGCGCAAACTTGAAGTCGCGTATTTCAATCATGTTACAGGACACCATTTTGATCATTCGGTCATTAATTAAAACAATAGAAAAAAAAAAATGCTTTGAATCGATCATTATAATATAACGTACCTATACAATAAAGAAAGGCGTCAGTTAACAAAGGGGACTTTGCAAAAAAAAAAATATATATATATTTATATACCAAACGGAAATGTTTTTTTCCCTATATTTTTTTTTTTTTTTTTATGTTTCTCGATGGAAATCAATGTGACTCACGTTTGCGTTTGCTTTGATTGTGCAAACGCACAAACACACACTCTGAAATTTCAAGTTCAAGTGAATGCCCGTCCGTGATCAAGTGGCGGGTTCGCGTCGTTTTCGGAGTGTGTTGGCCCGGTCAGGCCGCCGCTTGTTCTTCTTAAACCCTGACGGGTGCGCAAATTAGACAAAACGATATAATGATTTCGCAACGATTGACGGCCAAAAGGGACCTATATAGGGTTTTTGTCACGTACGCGTTCGTGCTTTTCGCGTGACATTTGACATTTCCAGTGTACCGGCAGGACCTGTACGGTGGCAAAAAAACAAAGGAAAAGAGGAAAAAGGGAGTCCCAGCTGGACGTATTCGGCGGGTCCCTCGCGCCGCCGATAATCGTCGGGGTGGAGCGTAGTAAAAATTCGACCGTTTCAAAAGCCGGCGGGGAGTCCTATAATAACAAACCACCGAGGTGCTCTCGCTCTCATTTCCATCATAATGAACATCATATACACAAATATATACCCATCCCCGGAACGGTGCCCAGAGTGGTGTGGCATTGACCGACGTCATTAGGAGCAGCAGCTCGCACAGCTCGCAACCGTAATAATTAAAGAATACGGCCAGTTATTTTACACAATTGGAAAATTTGTTTCGCACACGAGTGTCCCCGTCATCACTACCACCACCGCCCCCGGGGTTCGGGTCAAAAAAAACGGTCAGGCCGACAAAGGACACCCTTTGACGACGACGCCGCCCACAAAGAGGTGGAGGATGTAGCGAGCGTTTTTATCAATCGAATATTAATTATCGGCGTACGATGTCGGTCCGCGCTATTTTTACACGAGTATAGAGGATGTAACTATTAACACACACACATCCTCAGCCTCGGGGTTGGCTCGTTGAGTTGTAGACTTATATTTAAATATATATATTTTGGCATCGGTCGATTTATCTCGCGTCGCGTTCCTCTCGGCCAGTCGGAATCCAAGCCAAGCAAAACCAATAACAATAATAATTATTACTGTTGTTTGTACAAGCTGTCACGCGGTAGACGTCTCTTCAGGTGCGCCCCGTCGAGCTCTCGTATGAGACGATGTTGGCTCTTATCTGGTGCGTCCATCTTATTTTGACAACGATTCGACGTCCCACCGCGGCGAAACCCTCCTCGGCTGTCGTTCGTCGTTTAAACCGACTCCAAAAACAACTGTCATTCGCTCTTGTGTGTGTGTGTGTGTTTTTTTTCCACCGAAATCCTACTACCGCGAAGGTTTTTCTGATAATATTATATTCCGTATATATGCACTGCTGTTGTTGTAACTCTTTCTGCTTGCCCGAACGCGAACAATGAGCAATCGGCGGCAAGCGCTGTTTCGACTTTTGCGCATGTCATTTTTTATATATATATATGTATTTTTTTTTTTACAATGGGGTAGGTGGTGGACAATAATATGTGTTAGCACGTCGTGTACGACGACAACACGCGACCGAACGAGAAAGGGTTTCTTTTTCGCATTGAAAAGGGAGGAAACGTACGTCCGACGTGTCTCATAAGGGGGGGGGGAAGCTCTAACGTCAAAAACCGGCTCAAAAGAGAACATTTTCCCGATTCGAATAAACAATGGTCGGCGGCGAATCATTATTGTATTGTACACTTTTGCACGATGACGAAAATGACGTGTGACTGCGCGCAAACGGTGTACAAACTGTATACGGGTGTAGGTGGATGTATAGTGGTAGTGTGTCTGTGTAATGCACAATAATTCTATACAGCTCTCGAGATGATGATGAATTTTGAAATATTGCGCTCGCTTCAGGAATGTCGCATAGCACAATATTGTTTAATTAATTTCGCCCGCTCAGAGACCAATGGGAGAAGATTATGCTTAACTTTCAGCACGGTATTCGTGGCTTGTAAATTTTGAAATAACTAAAGGTAGTGTAGTTCTTGTTAGAACTAAACACGGACAATTATTATTACTTATACTAACTAGGTAGTTTACTCGGTGCAAGACATTTGGAGTGATGTCAAAGGACTTTCTTGCTGTATTGGCGATTTTGCTTTACACTTGAGAGGATAAGAAACCTATTGACTTTCAGTAACCTAAGAGCGCTTTCTTCGTTAAGCCGGTAGAACCGATTTATTTTAGCTAAAGGGTTGTAATAGTCTAGTGTCTTGTGCTCATACTAATATTTTGTGTTCCAATTCCCCCCGTACGTTTGACTACAGTAGTGAAGCAGATATAGCAACATATATAAACAACATAAAAAGTTTCAGTGTTTACAATATTAAATATAATATGTGTATTAAAATTGAATTTCACTCGGCACAGTAGCGCAATGTGCGCGTTCTATATTCGTACACAAACAGCAGACGTCTTCGCCTATTTTTTATGTTCACACTAAGTAAAAATAAAGTTCAAAGAAGTGGATGGTAATTTATCGAAAACCCAAGTGCATCGTTCGGCGCCCAGTGCACACACACACAAATAATCGTGACAACAGCAAACTTCAGGTGCTTGTGTGTTTACACGAATAAATCAATAAACCAAACATTTTTTCTTCTTTTCGATCGGCGCTGGTAGA